TCTCTCTCTCTCTCTCTCTCGCTCTCTCTCTCTCTCTCTCTCCTGCACCTGGTAGAGCAGCAGAGAGACACAAAGAGAAAAGAAAAAAACCAGCACACCTAACAGAATATACTACCATAATACACAACCACGGAATGTAACCGTAACTAAATGATGTAGAGCAGTGGTTCCCAAACCTGTACTGGAGGACCCCCTGCCCTGCACATTTTGTATGTCTCCCTAATCGGACACACCCAATTTAGTTCTTGCGGTCTTTACTAACGAGCTGATGAGTGGAATCAGGTGTGTTAGATAAGGGAGACATACAAAAGGTGCAGGGCAGGGGGTCCTCCGGGACAGGTTTGGGAACCACTGATTTAGAGTAAAGAAGGTGTAAAGAAGGTACAAAAGTGTCCCTTTGATGGTATTGCCCCACAGTGGCAAGCTGTTGTACCCCTAAAGGTACAATTTTTTTTATTTTTTTGTTTTTTTTTCTGGGAGTGTTCCTCCAACAGCTCAGATATGCATAGCAAGGGTGTGCCAGAGTTCGAGTCCAGAGTTTGTAACTTCTCATATTTAGTCTCATAAATAGTTTTGTTCTTGGTCTTTCTTTCATTTTTTTTTCTGTCTATTCTAAACTTATTCAAGCTGAGGTTTGTGTCACTGTCAAAAGCCAGTATGCCAGTTTTATTTTCAATTCAAATTTTTATTTATTGCTTTTGTTTCGTTTACTACATCTAATGAGTTCAAAATCACAAACAAGTATTCTTGAGTTTCAGATTTTACATACTAAAAGCAATACAATGTGAACACAATAAGCACAATGTACTTATTTTTTGATGTAAGTATAGTAGTTAAGGCCACTTAATATAAAGTGGGACCGGAAGTTCTAATAATTTTGTTCCTATGAGTCAACTGAAAGCTCCTCCTTCCTTGATCTACATCTCTCTTGCTTTATTCCTCTCACTTATGCTTCAGTCTCTAACTTCATATCAATGTATTCAAAGTATTACAGGAATAATGCAGCTCCGTCAGAATATTATCATCATTCTTGTGTTCTTTGGGATGGTATTGAGTGGGTATGTAATTACTCTTCAGTAATATTAGATGGTTTGCCTTTGTGTTTGGGTTGTGAATTGATGTGATAATAATACAGTATTATTTCTCAGAAGTTGGTAACAGTAGTGCTTGACGTGGCCAGGAGGAGTACATGAAGGACTGTATTTAGCATAGTATTGCCACTCTATTCTGCTAAAGCACCTTATTTTTAAAGCCAAAATCTTTATGAACTAACCTTGAGAAACATATTGTACGTTTCTGAAACTGCATTTTATTACCCCTTTAAAAATGTGAACATTTTTATTTTATTTTCAAGATATATCATATCAAAACGCATTTTTTGCAGTGAGAGGTGCCTTTTTTAATTGTTTAATTTTTAATTTAATTGTGGCAGTGAGCGTTTTTAAATGCATTCTGTCAGACAGAGTTTAGAGTTTTATATCTTATCATTCAGACAGAATGTGTTTTTCAGTTTTGAAAACCGCAATGCTAAAATGCAAAAAACGCATTCTTCCTGATCAGGACAAAGGGTGGTTTCACTATAGTGGTTCAGGATTGCTGAATGATAGGTTTGGGACAGGGAACAAAAGTTCTGGTTGATTTTCAACCCTACAATATCAAGCAATTCTTTACTCTGCATTTTCTGTGTACATGACAAGCATAAGATATAAAATTCTAAACTCTAAAAAAAGAAGATTAAACAGTTACACATTTACAGAGATCTCTCCTGAAGTTATATGTCTTTCTTTACAGGCTCATTTACCTGAACAATAACCAGATCAGGTGAGTTTAGTGCAGTTAGAAAAACATAGTGCAGATGTAGTTTGTGTTGTTGTCTTGATTTGAGAAGTTTGCATTACTGAATTATTTGATATTTCACTGTTTTAAGCTGCAATCAGCAGATAATAGAACAAGTCATCATCAAGTGAGTAATGATATGCATACACATACATCACTCTTCAACACAAAAAAAACAAATGCACACACATGCTAGTATTTCTGTAGATGCTCATATTCATCAACACACACACAATCAATGACACACAACATAATCAAATTCAAATGAGTAAGAGTTTGACTCTGTTATTATCAGGCCAAAATGGAAGCAAAAGACCTTTGGATTGCGCTCATCACCAGGGTGTGTAAAACTTCATCTTCATAAAAGTGACTTTAATTTTAAGTTGATCCGTAGTTAATGAGGACTACTGCTCTAGACAAAAACATTTTTGGTTCGTGGTTGTTTTTGAGGTTCTGATCAGATGACCAGTGAGAGTTAAATGATGATGTCTTCGGTTTATAGATGGAAATAAAAGAACTGGGAAACCCATGTTTTAAATGTGTATCAACTCCATGAACAAATAAAAATGTCTGTTGATCTTATTAATTTTTATTACAGGTTGTTGTACAACCAGCCGAGTGCGTTGGTAGGGTGAGTATTATGTTTTTAGCCCTGTTATAGCCCATTTCCACTCATGAATGAAATGATTACAGTTCTGTATGTGTGTTTTTAATGAAGTCGGACAGATGTTGCTTCTGTGACATCATGGTCAGCTCCAATCCTTTGGGAGGGAACCTTTGACCCCATACTGATCGACTCTATCTACAAACAACAGAATCTCACGATAGCAACCACTGTCTTCGCTTTGGGAAAGTAAGTCTTCATGATACCTCTCATCTTGTATTAATAATCCTCATTTGTTTCCCCTACTCTGTTTTTCCTTGATTCTGGAAATAGTAATAATTAAAGGATAAATTAACCTTAATATTTCTCCCTGTATTTGTTTTCTCTGTTTGTTAGATACACGCGTTTTGTCAAAGATTTTCTGGAGTCAGCAGAGCAGCATTACTTTGTTGGATTTCGAGTGCATTACTACTTGTTTACAGATCAACCAGAATCAGTTCCTGAAGTGAAGATGGGAGAAAACCGTAGTTTGACAGTTCGAAAGGTTCCGAGTTTGAACAGATGGCAGGATATCAGTATGGGCAGGATGGAAAAACTGGAAAAACTAATAGAGAATGAACTGGCCAGTGAGGCTGACTATATTTTCTGCCTTGACATAGATACAAAGTTCTATGGCCATTGGGGTGTGGAGTCTTTGGGTCGTCTGGTAGGTGTGATACATCCTTGGTTCTTTGATGCTCCAAGGGATCGATTCACATATGAGCGTAGACCAGAGTCTCAAGCATACATTCCAGCGGGGGAAGGTGATTATTATTATGCTGGTGCTGCATTTGGTGGCTCTTTGGAGGATGTACATCATCTCACCAAAACCTGCAGGGAGCAGCTGCACATTGATGCTGCAAAGTCCATTGAGGCGGCATGGCAAGAGGAGTCTCACTTGAACAAGTATTTCCTTTTGAACAAACCTAGTAAACTGCTCTCTCCTGAATATATGTGGCGGGACATCAGTGCAAGTGCAGCCCAAATTAAAGTAATTCGCTTCTCTAATGTAGCTAAAAACTATGCTGAAGTTCGTCCAAACCCATAGCAACTGTTGCCAGTATTCAGCTACATTGACATGGTGTGTTCTCAAAGGCCTCCCATAAGACACTGTGAATCTGTTAACAGGTAATACTGGCAATAGGGAAGTTGACATCTGCCACCAAGAAATGGATAATCACAGACAAATACAGTTTATGAGCACATATCAGAAACATTATCTGCCAAAATCTTTTTGAATAAACACACAATATGAACTTATCAAACTTTTTGCAATACTCTTTATTATGTAACCGAACACAATTTGCGTGTATTGAAAGCACTGACAACCCTTTGTTTTACCACTTCTAGGTAGAGAGTTTAGGGAGGACGTTTAGGGAGCTACAAGGTCTGAAGCTAAAACCAATTGTAACATTAAATTATATTTTCTGGGTACTACTGCAAGAACAGAACCTTCCATATAACCTGCGGTATATGCTCAAACATTCTGTGAAATATGACATTTTGACACCATAAAAATATGTATGCATGCATACCTTTACAAATATGCTATATATTTATATAAATATATTGATTCCTTTTAATTGTATTTGTTTATATTTGTATAAATATAAATGTATTTATGAATATACATTTTAACATAAACACATTATTAACTATTTTATAGATAATACACTAAACTGAGCTGGACGATGACATCACTGAATCAATGATAAAATGACTTTAACAGAAAAAAATCACTGTTTACTATTGTCCTCTTGCATTAACGATACAATATTTTCCTGTTTAATGCTTTGACACAATCTGTATTGTATAAAGTACTATATAAATAAAGGTGACTTGATTTAACTAAACAACAGCTTTTCAACAATATATGTAGTGGCAATAATCTTGCTTTATTCTTTCAGGCAAAGAATTGACTCGGGTCTTCGTTCAAGTTTCAACTGTTTACTGGATGTACTTGTACGAAACAGAAACAAAATAAACTCCGGTCAAAAAACCTGTTGCTCCATCTTTCTTTCTTTCATAAAGGGTACACCAAAAATTAAAGGTTATTAAAGGAAGTCCAATATTAAAGCAGAGCTAACCTTTACAGAATAAACACATGGAACAAATGTACATGTAAATCTAAACACATTAAAATTATATCTACTGAAGCACTTCTAACTTTAATGTTAAATTTTAATTATTAAAATTATGGCTCTTACACCCCCAGCCCCTAATTGTATAGGCAGGCAAACTATATCAGTTATCACATTAAATTATCTAGAGCCATAAACCTTCAGAATAAGAGTCTTTGGAGTCACAACTTGAACGTCCATTCAAACTACAGTCAGCCAGCTTCTTGTAGAAGACATATTTTGGAGATGGGGCGATTCAGCTTGCTGTTTTTCGTCTGAACACACACACACACATTGAACATTTCCCTTAGAGTCAGGCATTGTCTTGATGATGCGACTTATCATCCAGGAATTCCGAGGTGCATTGGAATCCATGATCAGGACAATGTCTCCATTCTCAACGTTTATTTTCAGCCTGACGTTCCTGCAGAAGAGGTAAATATTCCAGTGTCCTCCGATGCCAGAAAAGATCCACCAGGTATTGAATTTGTTTCCATCTACACCTTGCATAGACATCGTCTTTCTTGAACACACCTGTTTCCTTATCAACAACAGATGGTTTAGGGGTCAAGGCTTCAAGGTTGTTCGGGTACTAACTAACTAACTAACTAACTAACTCTTGTTAGCTGTTTAGGCTTACTAGTTTAAGAGTCCAAAGATGTTAATGAAGACACGACACACAAGAACTGTTCACACATTATTAGAATAACTTTTCTTATTCTAATAATGTTCTGTTCTCCGACTCCACACTTTTACAGTCTATGACTCCACAGGATACTTGAATACAGGGCACCACCTAGTGGTAAGAACCAGCATACATCACATCTCCCTTTTTTTTCTTTTTTCTTTTCAAAGAACAATACAATAAACTTATTTCAAACCTTTGGTTTTGCAATTTACTTTCAATTTTGAACTCAGTGTCACCAATCAAAATAACAGGTGTTAAACTCTCGAAAAATTTCTTTACTAGAGTAAAAGTCCTTAGGACTTTAGCAAGAATAACGTTTTGGTGGCCTAACCACTCTGCCAGAATGTGTCACTTTTACAGTCTCTTCTGAAACAACTTCAGGATTTGAAGACAACGGTCCAGGTTTTGTGATTGGCAGTGACACTGGCATTGCAGCCACTACATCTGGGACACAGTCATTTATCACTGGATCAAATGAATCCTGAATATATGAATTCTGGAAACTTGTCTCTTTTGTTTTCGATTTCTTCAGTAAATTTCTCCATCCTGCGTTTGAACCAGGTATGACCTTGGCTTTTCATGCTTTTCCACCACGACAGCTGGCTGCCAGTGACTTTCTGCTCTCAATCTCACCTTTTCTCCTTCCTTCAGAGCAGGTAGGTCTCTTGCTCCTCGGTCAAAGTAGAGCTTTTGCTTTTGCTGTCTGTTTTTTAGGCTTTTCTGAACCCCTCTATGAAGTTGTGGTTGTAACAACTTACTCGCTGTTGGCAATCTGGCTTTCAGTCTGCAGCCCATGAGCAGTTGTGCAGGAGACAACTTCACTTCTCCAAGTGGCATATTCATGTACTCAAGAAGAGCGATGTACGGGTCTCCATGACTTTCTTGCGCTTTCAAAGCTCTTTCACTTTGACCGTTCAACTGAGGATATCCGGGGCTTGAAGTTGAGTGTTTGAACTCCCATTTATCCCTGAAGTTTCTAAATTGTGCACTCACAAACTGTGGCCCGTTATCTGAGACAACTTCGTCCGCAATTCCATAGCAGATAGTCTGCTTGGTTGAAATGAAAAAGGTCTACTCCTCCTTTGGTGTTGTTCCATCTGAAGTAGGGCTGCACGATAAATCGCATGCGATATTTAATGCGCATCTTGTCAGAAAGCCGGTTCTGTAATCAGCGGTAAATCTCCATCACCTGCGTGCTTTCACATTGAGCAGCATTAACTACACAGAGCCGCTGTTCACTGACGAGCTGCGCAGGTGATGGAGATTTACCGCTGATTACAGAACCGTCTTTACTGACAAGATGCGCATTAAATATCGCATGCGATTTATCGTGCAGCCCTAATCTGACGGTACTGCACACAGCACACTTTGACACCATATCTCCAATTTGTTTTCCCATTCCCAGCCAAAACAGTACATCTCTCGCTCGCTCTTTGCACTTCATCACTCCCAAATGAGCTTCATGAATTTTCTCCAGCATTTCTGCTTGCAGACTACGAGTTTTGTATTTTTGAACAACAATCCTTCTGAAATTGTCAGTTCTTCCTTGAAGGTCCAGTACTTCCTTATTGCAGGTGGCACACTTCCATCCTGTTTTGACTACTGTCATCACCATCTGCAGTTCTTTATCTGCTACAGTAGCTTCCTTGACAGCTCTCAGTTTCTCTTCCGAAATAGGCAGACATTCTGACAATTGATATACTCCCAAGTCTCTGTCCAGTCGTTGTTCTGTTTCTTACTCAAGGTAGGCTCTGCTAAAAAATGAGAGTTGAAAATCTGCTATTTTCAACTCTTTTCCAGGTTTGTAGATTACCTGCAGGTCATATGGCTGGAGTTTCATCAACATCCTCTGCAGACGTGGTGGGGCTTTCTGAAGAGGCTTTTTGAACACTGTCTCCAGTGGCTTGTGGTCTGACTGTACTCTTACTGTTTTCCCATAAAGGTACTGGCTGAATTTTTCACATCCATACACGATGGCTAAAAGCTCTATTTCAATCTGAGCATACCTTTTCTGGCAGTCAGTCAGTGATCGCGAACCATATGCAACAGGATGTTCTTCCTGCAGGATAACAGCTCCCAAACCCTCCGAACTAGCATCAACAGAAAGAGTCACTTCCTTGTTGACATCAAAGAATCTGAGAACTGGGGCATTGCTCAGCTGTGACTTAAGTGCCTCAAAACTCTTTTGCTGGGATGTTTCCCAGTGCCACTCCACTTTCCAGAAGTTTCCTCAGCGGCGCACTGGTCTCAGACAGGTTTGGAACAAACTTTGCGAGGTATTGAACCATGCCAAGAAACCTCATTAAGGTAGATTTGCCTTGTGGTTTGGGCATCTCCACAACTGCTTCGATCTTGTCTTGGTCTGGCTTCAAACCTTCTCCACTTAGTGCATGCCCGGTGTACTTTATTTCATCCATTCTGCTCTTGCACTTTTCCCGATTTAATTTCAAATTGATACTTCTTACTCTCTCCAGAAGCTGCCTAAGCCTTGCATCATGCTGTTTCACATTTTCTCCCCATACGAGTATATCATCCATGATATTTACAACACCTTCCAGGACTTCAAGCCTTTGAGCTATGCACTTCTGGAAGACTTCTGGAGCTGAAGATACCCCAAAAGGTAACCTCTTGAAAGAGTACCTTCCGAAAGGTGTATTGAACGTGCAAAGCTTGGAACATTCTTCGTCTAACTGGATTTGCCAAAATCCATGATTAGCATCTAACACTGAGAAAACTTTTGCATTTGGCATTTCACTCACGACTTCTTCAACTGTCAACTTCTGAGTAGAAAGTGTTCTCTTTTTATGGCTTTGTTCAAGTCTTTTGGGTCAATGCAGATGCGAAGTTCGTTCGGCTTTACAACAGTCACCATACTATTGACCCAATCTGTTGGTTCTGTTTGTTTCTCGATGACTCCAAGTCTTTCCATTCTGTTAAGTTCTGTCTTTCTTTTTGTCTTTTAGTGCTATCTGGACTTTTCTGGGTGGATGTATCACAGGTGCCATGGCTGGATCAATCTTGATGTGATGCACACCTGGTATGCACCCCAAACCGTTGAACACATCATCAAACTCCTTCAGGATGTCTGTGTTTTCTTCACAGTCTACTTTGCAGATTCTTTTGACAAGTCCTAACTCTGTGCAGGCCAATCTTCCCAGGATGGCAGGCGAGTCTTTCTCAATAACTTGGAACTCAAACTCAGCTTCATTGTCTTTAAACTGGCAGATGAGTTTTGTTGTACCTTTTGGCTCCATCTTGTGGCCAGAATACGAAACTAACATACAGTTTGACTTGCACAGTGACCTGCAACTGCTTGAAAGTCTTTGTACGAGATTACGTTGCACTCTGCTCCAGTATCCAATTTAAAAGAAAGTGCTTTTTGTTTACTTTTAGTGTTTCAGTCCACTTGTCTTTCTTCAATACTGTGGCATCAGTTACGTTATTAACTTGCATCTCGACTTTGTTTCCAGTCTGCTTCTCTTCGATGGCACCCACGAATAGTTCTGTGTGAATCTCATGAACTTTCTTCATTGAAAACCTTGTTTTGTCTTGTTTTTGCGTTTTGCACATCTTGCCGAAGTGATTTTTTTCTGCGACATACCTTGCATATTTGTCCATATGCCGAACACTTCCTCGGCTCGTGGCTGTTATCTAGTACACTCTCCTTCTTTCTTCAACACTGCACTTGAAGAAG